GGAGGAGGGGGAGGAGAGGGAGGAGGAGGAGGAGGAGGAGGAGGAGGAGGAGGAGGAGGAGCAGCAGTGGCCAGAGGGGGGCGAGTCCATCAGGAAGCCGAACAGCCGCAGGCCGCGGCGGGGCTCCTTAGTTGAACTCGCTCTGCGGGTTGCGGAGCTCTGCGACGTGGTCGCTCGGTCGCTGCGGGCCGAACGACTCCGCGGGCAGGAACGACGAGGTCAGGTCGACCATCAGGTAGTCTGCATTGCTCGGGGTGTCGACGAAGACGCCGTCAACAATCATAGAGTAGTAGTGGTCTGCACGAGGCCCAGACGGCACATCCACAGAGGCTTCATGACCATGTGGGGGTAGCTGAGCGGCACGAGCGCGCGCTGGTGCGTGAAGGTTGTAATCGTGGCCGTCGGCGACGGCAGGTAATGACGTAGGCTCGGCAGCAAGTCGTCCGAGCATGTCGTCGTCAGGAGTCGTGGGGCCAGCAGGGAGTAGTATCGTAGTAGATGGTGGGAATCGTCGGGGGCCTGCACCTTGGTGGTGCTGGGTGCCGGGTGCATTTTGATGGTGCCGGGTACCAGGCTCGTCCTGTATGGGCGTGGCGTGAACGACAGGAGCACCTTGCAGGGGGGCGACGGGTGGGACGTGGGTGTCGAGCATGGCGTCGGGGAAGGGCAGGGCAGGCGGGGTGAGAGGAGCACCAGGGGCAGGAACGACATCGGGTGCTGATGCAACTGCCTTCGGGAGAGGAACCTCACCATGACGAAGGCGGTCGCGAGCTGCTCGAAGAATCTGGAGATGGAACTCGTAGGAGGTGGTAGTAGCAGATATTGGTGGGTAGTGCTTGATCTCCAGCACCAGGTAGTAGGTTAGGACCATCCGGGCAATCGTGTTGTGAAGAGATCGTTCGTGACGATGGTCTGCTGGGTATGCCTATGCATCCCCAAGCCCGATGCGCTCCAGTGGCGTGGCATGTGCGTATGTGCGTGGTAAGCATGTCAAGTGGAGAGCGCGAGGGCAGACCAGGTAGTGGCATATCTCGTCGGGCTCCTGGCAACCAAAGGCGCAGCAGCAGCGATCAGGGTGGACATGCATCCTATGCGAGGTGTGCCATGCACCTGTGACCGTTTTTAACACCGCCCAGCGCCAGGCAGGAGAGAGCGCAACAAGGTGCTGTCGTAGATGGTTCCATCGGTCGGAGATGTCAGCCGGGACCACCTCAGGACCAAACCACGTCGAAAGCCGCTTTGCAATCGTAACCCAGAGCGCATCGGGATGGGCCCGTTGCATTAGTGCTGATTGTAGAAGTCGTTGTGGCCGCGAGCGCGCGTGATCCTCAGAGGCGCTGCGCAGCTGGTCCAGGACGTCGGCGATAAGAGCGCGAAGTGTCGTAGGTGCAAGCTTGATGATCGACAGTGGGTGGCCGTCCTGCACGTTGGCGAAGCGCTGCACGATGGATGTCGGAGTCAACCAGAAGCTCGGAGAAATATTGCCCCTAACATGCTCGACAATCGGCAAATGCTCCATCGCCAGATCATGCAAGTGGTGTAGAAGCGGTCTCCAATCGCTGATGGTGAAGGAAGCTGCCCGCCAGAGCGATGCGAAATTGTAGGGGCCCAAGCCTTTAGGTGTTGATGAAGGGAACCAGGATGCCAGGGAGAGGATGTCCGTGAGCCGCATAGGAGGAGGAGGAGGAGGAGGAGGAGGAGGAGGAGGAGGAGGAGGAGGAGGAGAGTAGGTGCGAGGAGGAGGTAGGAGGAGGATGGAGGAGGAGGAGGAGGAGGAGGAGGGGATGAGGAGGTAGGAGGCGGAGGAGGAGGAGGAGAGGAGGAGGGAGGAGGAGGAGGAGGAGGAGGAGGGAGGAGAGAGGAGGGGAGGAGGAGGAGGAGGATGAGGAGGAGAGCCGCCCCTCCCGCGCGGGCAGGAGGTGGACTTTCGGCGGGGCGGGCGGGCCCCGAGTGGCGGCGGGAGGCCAGGCGCCGAGGCGGCAGGTGATGGAGCTGGCCCCCAGGGTATGTAGCGGCCCCCAGGGGAGGAGGGGGAGGAGGAGGAGGAGGAGGACAGGAGAATGAGGAGGAGGAGAAGAGTGGAGAGAGGAAGGAGGAGGAGATGAGGAGTGAGAGGGGGAGGAGAGGGAGGAGGGAGGAGGAGGAGGAGGAGGAGGAGGAGGAGGAGGAGGCAGGACGAGCGGGGCGGTGGCCAGGGTGCCCCAGCAGGGCGAGTAGAGGGAGAGAGTTTTTGAAGGATCCTCGGGGTATCGTCAGAACAACGACTCCTGCACGCGGCCGACGCGCGACGGAAGGGCCCGAGGGGGCGGAAAGAGAATGAGGGACGGGCCCCAGGAACCACAGACAACACGAGCGGAGGGACCCGATGGTGAGACACTGGTGGACGAAGAAGCGTCCGAGCCTCGACTTGTTGACGGGTCGCAGCGCGAACAGATCATAAGGACGCGCGGCAAGGAATGCAAGGCCCTCGGGCGTCCAAATGGAGGCCGGCGTGGGACTCCCGTGCCTTCGGGCTGGGACGGATCGAGAGGCAAGGATACAGGGGCGCCCCTGGAAAAAGTACCCATCCATGCTCGTACAGTCGAGGCGTTGACCTAAGGAACCCTAAGTAAGGAACGAGGCCCCTTTGTTCATAAGTTAACCTTCGAATTCCCATCGAAAGCTTAAGGAAAACCTTGGGCAAGGTGTGGTACAATCAAGGAACATCGAGCCCCTCCCCAACGAGAAGGGTTCCTTCTTCAGCGCCCCGACTGTACTTGTGCTGCGGTTTGGCTGTCGGGAAGGCGGGAGCGGAAGGGCCCAGCACGCGTCCGAGCACCCCAAACCTCCCCCGCCCCGGCCGGGAGCCACGCCCCGCAGCCCGTACGGGTTCGCCGACTCCCTCTTCAGCTTCGGGGCCCTCGCGAGGCTCACGTCGGCGGGCGGCGGCCAGAATCTCAGCACCTCCTCCCACTCCCCGGCACCCACCTGCCGGAGACATCGCGGACCAGGGAAGATGGAAACGAGGAGGATGACGAGGAGGAGAAGCAGGAAGGTCTGGCTTACGTTGCAGGCGGCACTTCTAAGGGTGGAGAGATCTAATGTACTGTATCAGGGAGGTGTTACTCCTGCTCCTCCTCCTCCTCCCCAGTGCAAACCCAAGACGCATCAAGATCTGGCAGTAAACCCTCCATTCAAGTTCCCTCTTCACAGGCTCTGCAAGGATTTGTTTTCACTGCAGAGTGCGCCGTTGAAGACACCCGTCGGGAAATCATCAACTGTGCCAAAACACCGTCCCTGGGACTTCAGCGCCACGAGGCAACGCTACCGATGCGCCCTGACGATCCTGCATCGTGCCACTCCTGGAACTGCAACACCGCGAATCCACGTGAAAGCTGCCTAAACCGAACCAACACACAATTTCTGGGACGCCAGCCGTAACAATCCCTCGAAACTGCTGCAAACCTGTACAGTCGGGGCGTTGACCTAAGGAACCCTAAATTAGGAACGAGGCTCTTTTTTTCATGAATTAAACTTCGATTTCCCATCGAAAACCTACGGAGAACAGAAGACACACTGTGAAACAATTCAGGAACACGGAGCCCCTCCCAAACGAGAAGGGTTCCTTCTTCAGCGCCCCGACTGTAATGCGAACATCTTGAAAGCGGCCCGCTGTCCATCCGCGAAGCTCCTGCAAACTCTTTAACTCTTGCAAGGTTTCGAAGCGAGTACATGTGCGCAGCGCTGATGCGAGCGCCACATTCTGAAAGCGGCCCGCCCTCCGTCCTCGAAGCTCTCGCAAACCTTCAAAGCGAGAGTGCGCATCAATAAAGCAAGAGCCACAACTTGAGAACGGCCCGCCCTCCACCCGTGAAACCCTTGCAGATTGTAAGATCCAGGACCAGATGTGCTGAGGAAGCCTTAGGCGAAACGCCCGGCCTGCCCCACGGACATGCCTCGGGGTGCGGCAGGGAGAAAGTCATTTAGACGGAAAAGGGTTGGAGGAGGAGGAAAGGGGGAAGGAAGAGGAGACGGATGATAATGATGATGGTGATGATGATGATGATGATGATGATGATGATGATGATGATTAGGAGGAGGAGGAGGAGGAGGAGGAGGTAGGAGGAAGAGGAGGAGAAGGAAAAGGTGGAGGAGGAAGAAGAAGCAGCAGCAGCACGAGGAAAAGCAGGGACGAGCAGGAGGAGGATGGAAGAGGAGGAGGAGGACGAGGAGGAGAAGAAGAAGACGAAGAAGGAGGATCAGGCTTGAGGCGAGCCGTTGTTGTGCGCTCTTATGTGCCCTTGCGGGCTTCTCCATTCGTTCGCCATTATTTGCCCTCCATTTTCCAGTCGTGCACACACTGCTCGTACAATCAGCACGTTGTCACGCATGTGCTTTTTTTTTCTGCGCGTGCGTTCAAACGCAGCAGCTCTCGCAGGCCAGCGCTGGTGCAGCGCAAAAGAATTAGGATCACCAAGAAAAAACAAGGAGGGGGCACGAGGAAAAGGAAGGACGGAAAGGGTGAAGCGGAAGAGGAGGAGGAGGAGGAGGAGGAGGAGGAGGAGCAGCAGCAGCAGCAACAGCAGCAGCACCAGCAGCAGCAGCAGCAGCAGCAGCTGCAGCAGCAGCGGCGGCGGCGGCGGCGGCGGCGGCAGCAGCAGCAGCAGCAGCAGCAGAAGCGGGAGGGAGGGGGAGCAGGGGGAGGAAGGCGGAGCAGGGAGCAGCAGGGGGAGCAGGGAGGAGGGCGGGAGTGGCAGCGAAAGGGGAGGGAGGCGGGCAGGGAGGGAGGGACGAGCAGCAGGAGGAGGAGTGACCGAAGGGAGGGACCGACGGGCACCGCGCGCCGCCCCTCAAAGGCCCCTGGAGTCCGGCAGGGCACGGGCCTTCCTTCGCACGGCCAGGGCAGCACGCTCGGCGCGGGAGGAGCACGAGCCTCTGCGCCGAGTGGAGGCGCAGGAGGAGCACGAGCCTCCGCGCCTCGAGCTTGCCGTCGCTCGGACGTCCATTTCCCGTGCTTTTGTCGGTTTCGTGCGTGTTTTTGTTTGCTCGATGGTCCAGGATGGTCCTCGATGGTTCTCGTCGAAAAAAAAACGCACACGTCCGAGCGATGCCAGGCGAGGGGGCGCAGGAGGAGCACGAGCCTCCGCGCCACCGCCACGCGCAGCACGGCATGCCGTGGCCGCCGAAGGCGAGCGCGAAGCACGAGCGGAGCAACCCGAGCACTGGAGCGCAAACCTGTCCCGCAGCACGCGGACCACCGCCGCACATCGGCCTCCCCAAGGTCGCAGCCGTGGTCACTTCACCACGAGGCTGGCATGGTCCAAGATGCCCTCGTCGAAGGCCTGCTGGATGGCCTTGTCTGCGGCCTCCTGGGCGCTCGCCAGCTGCTGCTGGAGGGTGGCCAGCTTCTGGGCCGCCCTCTGGATGTCGCGGAGCTTCTCGGGCTCCTTCTCGCAGCACCCGAGCCGAGCGCGCGGGCCAGGAGCCGCCTCTTCCTGGGCCGCCGCCCTCGGCCTCCTGCTGCTGCTGCTGCTCATCCTTGACCATGCCCTTCTTCTCCTGGAGCTCCTCGCTGGCTTCGGCCACCGTCTCGAACGTGTGGCGTTCCTGGTCCGAGCCCGGACTGCTGCTGGCGCCTGCACGGAGGGTCGCGCCAGCACGGCGCCTGCCCCTCTGCCTCCGCTTCGCCTCCTTCCCATTCCTTCGGGAGGGCTGCGACTCCTTCGCCAAAGAGCGCACGCTCGGCCACGCTCCTGCTGGCCTTGTCCTCGCCCGTGAAGTTCACCTTCGCCTCGTCATGGGCCGCGCGGACCTTCGCACCGATCACGGGCTTGATCATCTCGATCCTCGCCTCGATCTCCTCCACGACCTCCTTCTCGTCGGCCGCCTGGGCAGACACGCACGACCAGCACGCCAGAGGGCGACCGCCGTGGCCGCCACAACCCAGCGGGAGCCGCCCGCTCGAACCACAGCGCCGAGTAGCGCCTCCGCCATTGCATTGGACAGGGATGAGAAACCGCGGCCAGCTCAGACCTGGGGGAGGCAAGCAGGCTCTTGAGCCAAAATGGCTACGGAGCAGCAGGAGGAGGAGGAGGAGAAGGGGGAGGAGGAGGAGGAGGAGGAGGAGGAGGAGGAGGAGGAGGAGGGCGCGGAGGAGGAGGAGGAGGAGGAGGAGGAGGAGAAGGAGGAGGAGGAGGAGGAGGAGGAGAGGGTTTCGGCTGAGGAAGCTCCTGCACCTTTTTGTTTTGAAACCCTAAGCGGCGCCACTGCCGTGGCCGCGTACACGATTCCCTTAGTTGGCGATTCCAAGCATAGGCGGTTGCGCGCCGAACGGGCGCGGAACAGAGCACTGCTGAGGGTGTACAAGGCAGGTCTAGCGTTGCGCAGCCATCACGCAACCCCAAGAGATCGGATGTGGCAATGTCCCTCTTGTTACACACATCTTCCAGTTTCTCAGGCAGTATGTGGATGCGGGTACAACTGGTACTCGCGCTCCAAGTCGCAGCCCATGCAGTCAAGGGAGAGGTCCAAGAGCAGAGACCCCTGGAACAAAGGCGACTAGGATACTGTGAACCAGCTCGTGGCGAAGATTGCGCCAGCTACTCCAGAAGTGGCAAGGTCGGAGGCCTTCAGGAATGTTTACGTGAAGGCGCCCCCGGCAGAGCAGAAGGATGCAGTGAACAAACATCGCAAAGAGATCAAAGAGAAGATTCGCAAGATCGGCATCCTTATCAAGGCTGCTGCTGCAGCGGATCGCCCTGCGAACGACGCGGACTGCAAAGAGATAGCGGTGCTCAAGTACATGCTGACGGAAAGCTCAGGATCAGAGAACCAGCTGTCCGAGGTCAACATACAATTGGAAAATGAGCAGGGCCATCTGCGCGAGATACAGCAGAAGGAGGCGGAGGTGCGCGAGAGGCGCATCCAGATCGAGGAAACCATTCGCAACATCCAGGAGACGATCGACCAGCTGACGAAGTCGAAAGACGAGGGTGGCACGGCCGAGAGCGCCGATACGGAGATGCACAATGCAGAGGAGGGCGTTGGCAGGGCGCCTGGGAACCCTCATGCAGGCCTTGGGAGAGAGGCAGCAGCATCTTCGGTGGCGCCAAAGGCAGCTGCGGCGGGCCACGCCGCGCCAGCTGTGCCAGCGAGCTCCAGAGAGGTGGACTCGATCAAGGAGTGCCTCCAGCGCCTGACCGCAGCGCAGGTGCAGCAGCAGAACCAGCAGGAGGCCATGATGAGGCAGATTGGCAACTTCCGCGGCCACCTGATGGACGAGGTGCGCATGATGATGAAGGCTGCCCCCTGGACAGCTCAGGGGCCGCGGGTGCCACAGCAGGAACCAGGGATGGGGAGTCAGCCATCACCGACGACGCCGTTGCAGGCAGGGCAAGTGCCAGGCGTATCGCCTACATCCACGGCTGCGTCTACCCCCCCTGGATACCCGAACCTGTACGAGCAGATGCGGGCTGAGAGGCAGGCGGCGGGCATGGGGTTTCGGCAGGCCCCGAGTCCAGCGGATGCGGGGATATTTTGGGATCCAAGCACGACCCCAGCCGACTCGGACGCTGCGGAGTACCAGTACCAGCTGAGGATGGCCAGGTTCCACACGATGTACCCCAGCCAGTCAGCACAGAGGTCGTCGACGTTTCCTTCGGCGCCCTTCACGCCCGCGCAGCCGCAGATGGAGCCCGAGACGCCTGCGATAGCGCCTTGGGATTGCCCGACTCCGCAGTACGACGTCCTGTACACGCCGAAGGCCCCAGCGGGTGGCCCGTCTCAGGACGAGCCTCCGACGATCAGGGTGCCGACCTCCGCGTGCCCGACGGACGCGTACGACAGGACCTTCGCCCAGGTGCAGAACCCAGCGGCGGCGGCTGCAGCACCGTCGCCAGCAGCGACGGCGGCAGTGGAGCTGGCTCAGGCTTTCGCTGCAGCGAGCTTGGGAGGGCCGAGCGGAGGGGGTAGGCACGCACCTCAGGGCC